GCCCTCGTACTGCTACGAGTGCACTGATGGAAGCGTCAAAACATTTATCCAAGGCACTGACACTTTATGAAGATTACTCTTCTTCTGATGCAAGTCACGTCCGACCAAAATGGGTCCGGGGCGTAACACTTGTGTTCCCGGAAGTCCAAATATGCAACAGGATTGTCTTCTCAGTGTGCGCACCTTCTATAGCATCTTTTTCCCACTCGCCCTCGTACGAACTTCCGTCACTCTGCTCGAAGTAACCCCATCCGCTCCGGCAATCTTCCAAAAAGTCACCACTGTACTTGGATCCGTTCTCGTAAACGCAGATTCCGACCCTGAAAAGCAATGAAATTGCACAGACAGGCAGTTGTTATTCAAAATTTTATGGATATTCAGTCATTAGGGATTATGTTGCCATACTTCTGCGGAAAATTATAGGGCAGTTGACGCCACAATGCGAAGGAAACAGGTGCGCATACAGACATGCATTGTGGCTCGTGCAGCGTGATGCCTTGACGACAGCTGCAGCTGTGGCATGTGAGGCCTTGTGCATCGCTTCTTTCATGGACGCGGATGTACGCTGGCAGTTCACTATCCACACTGATCTGGATGCACTCAAAAGTTGGAGTCATCCAATTGGAGAAACTCCATTCCCACCGAGCATGCAAAAATCAGCTCACCAGCATGTCCAAGAGAGCACTGATTTCGTACTGATTTCGCCAAACGGTGTAACAGCGTTTAGAAACTCAAGCACGAATCAAGGATGCGTGGAAAATATCCCAGTACCGTGGGGAACTCTTGAGGAGCCTTGGGATCGAACTGTGCTGCCATCTGCCTAATTTTCACTGTGGCTTCGTTTTGTTCGGGGCAAAAAGCTGAAGCTGCAGGGGCGCGGCAGTAGGCCCAGGGAGGGAGTGTCGATCGGCTCACCCGTTGGCTTTGTCGCCCTCCCAGTCTCCTTCGTATTCGAGGCCCTTCTTGAAAACCATCCTGCCCTTGCCCTCTCTCTTGTCGTACCTCCATTCGCCGCTGTAATGGTCGCCATTGGAGCAGATGTGCTCACCTTTGCCGTGCCGCATGTTGCCCACCAGCCCTGGATCAATTCCAATAAATCTTGGTTACAGTAGTCATCATTGCACAACAAGACCTGCACAGCCTTATCGAAAGCGCCCCTATATATCTTCTTCAGGGCCTCCATTCCCGTAGTTTGGTGCTCACCTTATCCTCATGTGTGTCATCCTATTTCCCCGAAATTATTCAAGAACTTTGTTTTAGGCAATAAATAGGTATTGCTACAAATTTTCCGGAATTCGGCATCATCGCAGTCACACTCTCTGTGGACCATCTCTTCCGATATGTTGACTCGTACCTTGAAACTATCAATATCAACGATTCGCCATGTTGTCACCAACCTGGGCTGTCCTCGTGTCAGCGTCAGTATGGACGGCCTTCCTAACCTTGTTGCACCGGTTAGGCCAATGCTATTGCACTAATATAGGTGTCTTTTGGCCTTCAGCCACAACACACGCACAATTCCTGTTCACATCCAAAACTCTGCGGCACGCCCGCATCTGTTGCTCCGTGGATTCAGCTGTGAATTTAGTTGAATCTTCATTGCATATCGAACCACATGACCATTCATACTTCCCAGAGACGCCTCAGCTCGGTCCACCTCATTAAAGGGGCAAGACTAGCTCCCCATGCCCTGCTCCAGTTCCCGACGCGCCTCTCAGCATATCTCAAGATTGGTATCACCGTTTTTCACGCTTAAGGGCTCTATAGGCAGCTATCAACATGGCGCGTTGAGGTTGTTTTGGTCGAATTTTTTGACTCGCACGTTTTGACCTCCACTTGCGCGATTTGGACAGCGGACAGGACTTTACGAACCGAGGCAGTATTTGCACACGGTTCTACATGTAAATAATGCATCAGCCTCCCAATCAACACAGTCAAATATACCCTCTGAGAGGGCCGAAATCAGATTGCAACGTCGAGGAATGGGTGAAAAGGGCGAGCCACGTAGATGGCAGAGCAGTACGCTTGTATGGGGTCATTGGACGTGTTTCCAACGGCCTTCGCGAGGTTGGCTCTGCGTCTGCGCAATCAACGCTGGGGCTTCACTGGGGTGGTGGAGAATGCCGACTTCGTGGCAAGTGCGATGTGCGCTCACTTTGTAGACATCTCCGTTGGAATACCTCAAGGTCTGACAGTGCTTCAGAACTTCAGATCTTCCGATCGCTTCGAAGCCTTGGCACCTGCATGTGCGATGGTGCGCAGTTCAGTGTTGGACGATGAAAAAAGGCCAAATCTCCTGCGACGTCGCAGGGGCGCGTCGCATACAAAAAGTGGCGGCACGGCTTCAAAATCATCACACCGTCCTGTGAAAACTTCTGCGCTCAGGTCCACACCCCCTTTGCCGTTCACACAAGTTTCACGGAGTTTGGGGTTCAATTCGGCGAACGTGGCGTGTGTAACCTTGTGCCCATCAACCATAACTTTCCCACAACCTCGCGCCTGCTGCCCTGTCAACCCAAAACATCAAGTCAAGCGGGGCCCATCCCAGCCACCGGCCCTTTGGGGACGCGTCCTTTCAGTTTCTCACACACCTCGACACCACAGGGCGGCGGACTGCAGGCGCCGTCACACACTGACCGGCGGTCGAGCGCGGCTTCGTACACATGACACGGCTTTACATATGTGAGGATGTACTCTATACAGTCACGGCGCTTCTTCTCACACCTAGAATCTACAGCGCACGGGCTGTCGACGCGTATACAGTGTGACCGGCGGTCGAGCGTGGCTTTACAAAAGTCGTGGGTTAGGTCGTGAGTAATGTAGTGAGTTTGCTCACGACGCTTGCCGCTTGGCCCCGGCCACCTCGGGCCGCGGCTCACCCCACAGCCTCCCCCACGTCTGCCGGAACGGCGCCTTGCGCTGCTGCAACCTCACTCCGCATCCGCTCGACTTCCTGCCGGAGCTCAGACGTGAAAGCGTCCCGCGTCGCTTCAAACCGGGTCATTGCGCCTTCGACGTTGCAGCAGCGGTGGGGCGGCCCCGTGTGGACCGCGCTGTGGCTGCGGGAAATTGACCCGCGCGGTGTGGCCTCCACAGACGTTATCAGTGCCGGGGGGGCCTAAGGTTACGAAGTGACGCTTGGAATTCTGCCGATCGGCGCGCAATTTCCGCTTTCCGTAGGAGCCACTAGTATTTGTGCTAGTCGACCCGCCGCGACAGATGCAGAAATGCCGATTTCGACTGCGAAGGAACCACTGTTGAACAAGCAGGGTGTCCACTCCACTGCCTCCAATCAGTACTACCGGTTGTTGTGTACATGACAGACGGATTCACGATTGTCTGTTGCACGTCTATGACGAGCAGCAACATCGCGAAGCGATGAACGGCAGTGAACTTGGTACCGAATTTGGCTGCTCGGGTCAACGGCCGAACAAAAATTCAACAGAATGCAGCGCGAATGCGCGCCCGTTCAAGTTTGTGAATCGCCCTTGATGGTATGGAAAACAAGCACAGCACATGCGAAAACAGAGGCTGTCACCTTGCCTGCATATCCGACGATAGCCTCGATTACAGCACGTTCTGTACTATTCCCAAGGTGCTGGAGCAGAGGCCAAGGGACAAGACCTGTGCATAGCCCAGGTATGCTCCACTGTCTGGTGGACATATCCGCAACCTGTCACTGCCCACTTCAGCGACAATGGTCGACCCATCGCTCTGGGTCCATACATGCACTACACACGTGCGGAATGGATCCCATTTCTTGTCCTACATGCCAAACACACTACTTTCGACAGTTCGATGGACGTGGATTCTACCCTGCTGCCTCAAGTGCCTATCCTCAGGCAGACTCTTGCATCGGGGCATATCTCAGTGATAACTGTCTGCATACACGCCGAATAGTCACAAGTAGATTGGGCCACAGAAAGCAAGGGTTGGTTGTTATTGCGTTCGAATCCAATTGAGCGACCGGATGAGGGATCTGACCAGACGTGGTGGCACTGTGCTGTCGCCACATGGTTGTGCAGCCCTGGCAGCTGGACCACGGTCAGCCCATGTTTCTTTGCTCATGAATGTTTGCCTCCATCGTTGTGCCAAAGTTAGGTTTGCGCCCATATGCATCATGATAACGTTGAACTCCTGGTCCACGATACCTCAGTTGTCCATTTCAGATTGCCCTTGTTTCGCGTTTTGCAACCCATGCCACGCTTGCTTCACTTTCGCTGTACCACGCCAAAACCCTTTGCACAACTAAATAGGATCATACAAGGGCAAGGGACAATAAACTGAATAAAGCAGCAACACTGTTGTCCTTGTGCACATCAGCAGCCCTAAGCAGCTGGGCGACCGTGGGACCAACACTGTACAGCACGTTTATGGCAGCTTGTGACACAAAGGTTCTTGCTATGCGTCTGCACGGTGCAGCCTCATCGCACACAGGATCGTGTGCGCAACAGTAACTGCAGGCCGGCGTTGAGGTCCAAATTGCAATGCCCACTACCCGCAACGGCTTTTAGTTAGAGGCTGCGTCCTGAAACAACACACGACAGCAAACTGCTGTGTGCAAAGTAAATCGCTGCACAAGCATGGAGATCCTGTTGCCCTCGACGCTGAAAGAAAAGCACAATGTATGTGCAGCAACACACTTATCCAAAACAAGCTTAGATTACACAAGGCAATGGTGGCAAGCACAGCTCCGCCACACAAAAGCCAGAAGAATGTTGTAGCCACTGTTCATTCCTAGGAAACTCAATATGTGAACCACAGCCAAAGGTTCGTTGTGAATTGCATGATACAGCACAGCAGGTGTGTGCAATGTACTGGGCCACACCTGATAGAGCACATGCTGATAACCTTGGAATCAATATTCGGACAAGAGAACATCGATCCCATCAATAAGGGACAAAGAATAAACAATGAACCTCAGCAGCATGCCCCTGTGTGAAAAAATCCCCTGTGCAAAAATCTCTCCCTAATCTTTGGCATCCTCAACTGTTGCGCCATCAGGACAGAGGGATTGCTGCGTATGCTGCTGTTATGGCCGCGCAAATGAGGGCTATCTTCACGTTGAAATCGTTCACCTTCGCCTTCATGCGTGCTGCAAGGCCTTTGTCCTCAATGGGAGCAACACCCGCCCCATCCACGTCCCAGAATCCAGCCTGACAAAGTGATGCGGAAGGCTTCAGTCAGTTGCTGAAGACATGCACAATTCTAAGAGACTCGATGCATTTCAAGCAGGGGCCCACACATTACAGAGATCTGATGTCAAAGTTTGTGGGCATTCAACACCAGAATCCAGGAACAAGAGATTCATTGGCCATTTTGTCTATGCAAAGAATGTGCGCCTGCCCAGTTGACAAAAGGAATTATGAACCTGGCATGCGAGATCAGCCAATCTGAAACGCTCTGTTCGCGAGTAGCCGTGGCAAGGGCAAAGCAGACTTAGGGAATTGACTCTGAGAGCACCGTTGCACCACACGGAACCAAACTCTCCAGCAGGGCGCCAATCGCCCAGTCAGACCCGAAACACGCACCTGCGCCAGATTGCACAGCCCCGCCCTCCCTGACGCGTACAGCGCGACACCAAGAAAGATGAACGGGCCGACCAGCGCCGCGCGCGCCAGCCAATCCGCCCGAGCCACCACCAGCCCGCATCCCAACACCGCCCCGGCCCCCATCAATATCTTTCCCCCGAGCTTCCTCCTCCCCCTCTCCTCCCAATCGATGTTCACCATCTCCGCCGCCGCACGCTGCCTCAGCCTCGTCCTCTCGGCACTGGCGGCCTCGTCATCCTCATCGGCGACCTCCGCATTCACGGGGATCACACCGTACACGTTCCGACGGCCGGGCTTTCGATACAGCCACCGCACCACCGTCTCGACCGGGTTCTCGCCGAGTCGAAATTGTGGAAAGGGCTGATCGTCCCCGGAGGCTGCCGACGCGACAGACATGACATGCCTTTTGCCTGGTCGTGGTGACCCGGGACGGCGTGGAGATGGCAGCCTAGGGCCGGATGGGCCCAACGGCAGGGCGGCGATGTGAAGGGGCCGCGCAGGGCAGTGGTGGCCGGCGAGGTTCGAGCGGTGCATGGCGCCTGGCGTTCGGTCGCGCAGGTGCCGGACCTCCCCAAGTGGCGCTCTGGGCTCGTTCGTGGATGGCGAATGGTTGCAAGCAGTCGACAACTGACAACCAGTATCTGGAGAGAAGAGCGCCTTCCAGCCGATTTTTCGCTTCAGCCCCTGTTTTTTTGTCCCTCCGCCTTTGCTCACCGCTGATTCATCGCGGTGTGAGTCTTCCCTGACGGTGCGAGGTGATGGTTGGACGACTTTGCGGGCAGCACACTCCAGAAGCCGCCCTGGGCAGCGAGCCTGGGAGCAGTCGGCGCTCGGCCACATTTACTAGGGATCGAAGAAACTTATGGTGAGTGACGCCCAAAGATGCGGTGTGGTTGCCCCGTGAAACCGCGCCTGTCCGATCCAGCAGCTCCGAATGTCCCACTTTCTTTCCACCAAATCATCGCCTGTCTTGCGATACTGAGTCCAGCGAACTGACTGTTTCAGACAACGCCCATTCTTGCGGGTTTGGGCGTGGCGTCGGCGGCACTGGCGGGCAGAGCGGCGCTGCAAGCGTACCAGTCGTTGAAGAGCGGTGCGGGACGTTCGCTGAAGCAGTTCTACAAGGTGGGCTGCGGCGCCGTGTGCGGCTCCTTGTGCGGCTCCTTGTGCGGCTCCTTGTGCGGCTCCTTGTGTGGCTCCTTGTGCGGCGCAGTGTGCGGTGCTTGCGTTCATGTCTGGGTTGGTTTGTTTGATTCGTGTTTGGCGTTCATGTCTGGTTTGGCCCTTGCCGCAACGGGCTCCGTCCATGGGCCTGCTGCGTGCTCCGTTATTTGAGGCTCGAAGGGTGCCGTGCGTTTACCAGCGAACACAGGGGGAGTGGATTAATGTAGTTGTCATATCAGCGGCTGTGGATCTAAATTGTGGATGAGAGATGGCAAGCCCAGAAGCCAGCCAAGGCCTGCTCGTTTCGAACCAACATGTTGTCAAGTTATTGCAGCAGCGCGGCGCACTGCCTCAGAACTGGTGCCCTTTAGTCACATGGATTACATTTCTCCTTGCAAGAAAGTTCTTAGCAACTTCAGTGGGACAATGCCTGCATGTGCGCACAAAGCATATTGGTCCCCTATTTTCCGCAATTCCCGAATCCACTGTTCGCGCCACGTAAAAGCAGCGGCCTGCTGCTGCTTGCAGGGCGGGTTCCTCCAGGAGATGACTCGAAGAGAGGCAGCGCAAATCCTGGGACTACGAGAAAGTGCTCCGGCGGAAAGAGTCAAAGACGCGCACAGGAAGATCATGGTTGCAAACCATCCCGACGCAGGTACTAAATCTTGTTGCAGTCGTTTGCCGACCTGTCCATCCGTCATGCATTGCTGAATTGGGATGCTACTACTGTACTGCGATTAGGGATGGCAGCAATCGATGTCTCCATTTTTTTCGTCTACGTTTTGCTGATTTTCAACAGGAATGCACCCCTGTAGCTCCTGTGCGCCTTTGCTAGGAGGCACAGTTACGATGTCAGTGTGCACACAACAGAACTGCAAGGTGGCTGCAATGTACGAACCTACAAGTTGGACTGGTCCACTATCCGGGTATGCTAGAAGCAGCACAGTCAACCAACGAGGTGCAAAGTGTGTGCCTGTTGCAGGGGGAAGCAGCTACATTGCTGCAAAGGTTAATGAGGCAAAAGACATGCTGATAGGCAAGAAGAAAGGGAGAAGTTCTGCGTTCTAACGGAGGGCGCCGAGGAAACAGAAGCAACAATGCGTACAGGAGGGTTGAGAGTGTCTGGAAGGGTGTGTATCCACAGGCATATGGGCACCATGCTGCAGCCAGCTGTGGAGTGAATCCACCTGTCCAGGAAATTGCGAAGGTCGGTGCTGATTGCATCCAGAAGGGGGTGATGATACGCAACATCAGAACGCCGGGTGTCAGTCATCTTTTAGGCAGCAGAGAATTCGCAATATGGTGACTATTCTTTTGTGTTATGGGGAGGTAATGGAGCGAGTTCCACAACCAATACTGCTTGATGTGCTCCAGACTGCAAATAGACTCTGACATCTGCATGGTTTTCTTAGCTCCGCTGAACTTGATGAGAGGCCCTTGTATCATTCTTTTACGCTTTTCAGTGGCTGGGATGCACTGGCCACGGAAAGCGATCGGGGATTGGCGGCAGGTTGTCCACTTTGAGATGTCCCAAAGCCAGGTGCCCGTCCAGTGGGCGCCCTGGGCCCCTCACTGATCGCTCAATGGGTGCAGGCTGTGTTTTGATTCTGAGAAACGGCTGGGCCAGTAGTGAAGAGGAGATCCTTCGCCAGGGGATATTGATGCCGCATTTATGTATTTCATCGTGTTTATTTTTGCTTCAAGCAGCACTTGTGGGAGCGAGAGACCACCACAGCTCGGTCCGTCCTCAGGCTAAACCAGATTGGCGCCACTGTCTGCCGGGGACTGATCTGCCTGTCGTTGGATGGCGACCATGGAAACGCGGCCGCCTCAAGTGGTCGCACCGCGTGGTCGCTCACACGCGTTCGTTTACCTGGCCATGTACATGCTGTACATAGTGTGATTCTGCTGGCACGCCAACTTCAAGTACAATCCACTGCTTAGTCGCGTGGCGGTGCGATACTTCTTGTGGCTGCGAGCGGCCGGATTGAGGTTGCAGGCCACTGCGACCCTTCGTGAACCTGACTAATGGAACCGTTCCCATGAGCCGCGCGGGCAGCAGGCCCGCGGCCCAGGCGATGGTGGTGCCAGCTCGAGCTCCTCCCCTGCCAGGGCAATATCACGCTGATTCGACAGTGGCTGGTCCATGATTGACGGATGGTTGCTCGATTATCAAGGGACATGTTCGTCAGTGATGTCTCCGTAACTCTGTTCCCAGATGTGTCTCCAAGCCCGTGGGCATGCCTGCCTCCAACTAAGTCCTTGCCGTACCAGTGCCCCTGTCCCGACCTCGTTGCACATATCGCGATGGATACTATGCCCAACACATGGTTCAGCAAGCAGGTGCAGTTCCTGCGTTGCCCACGCTGCAGCAACGAGCAAACCAAGAGGGTAGGCGTCCTTTGTGGAAAGCAACCCCTTTTGCCCATATCTCGTCCAACCACGGTTTGTGGAAGGAGGGACGAGCCACATGCAAAACCGCGAGCCCAGCCCCCAAGCACTGTCGCAAGCAGCAGGCTCCGATGACAACGCACGAGGACTGGGCCCCTTGGGCCAGCGAGTTCAGCGGTCACATTGCGTCGTTGGATGTTAAATTTACATGTGGATCGTGAACAAGATGCAACTTTAGAAGAACTTCACGCCCCCTGCTCGCCCATCAAAATGGCAAGGCAGCCCCACGTGCACAACCAGCACGTATTCATAGCACAGGCGCCAGACAGCACACCCACAGGCAGCTTCGCAAGTATGCAGAGGGCGTGCGCTCGCGCTGCATGTGCGCTTACCGTTCCACCTGCTTCCTCCCAACAACTTGTTTCCCCGCAGTCGTTTGAACACAAGCCCAAAACTGTGCCCACCATCGGAAAGCCAACAACGGACACAGCCCTGAAGGGGATTATGCCAGTCTACATGTAGGCTCAGGCTGTGTGCCTTGCATCCACCTCTGCCTGACCCCCGTCGGGGCCGAGGGTGGGATTCGAGACGCACTCTCCTATTCACTGTACAACAGGTAGGACACGCACCGCAGTAGCACGCACAGCACACACACACAATAGGAGTTACCACAGGTGGAGAAAATCTGACGTTTTTTGTGTCAACGGGACGGCGACAAACGTCTCACCTTGCCTCCCTCGACTTATTTGAGGTATGCATGTGAAACGGAGCCGCGCAGTCGCCTTTCTTTTTCTCTTTCTGTTCTGTTTTGACGTCGGTACAGATCATTGCCTGGCCGAACAAGGCTGCCAAGCGAGACCCCAGAACGAAAAATCAGCCTTGCCCCCACCATATCTACCTAGATGCCTTACAAATTGGACCGACAAAAATCAAATCCCGCATTATTTCTGCGTAGATGTCCTTCAGAGCACACTCTCCTTCTATACAATCGTCATATGGCCCATTGATTGATTCAGACAACCAGCAAAGCGATCCCAATCCGTCAGACTGCAAAGAACACCACATGAAACATGATGATTCAACCAGTGTCGTTGATGTCTTCCTCTGTCCAAGTGACAACTAAGGGTTTATTCCCAGCAAACTTCGAACCACCATACAGCACCATGGGCCCATGCCAGAGCGATGAATTGTCCCAACTGCAAGAAGCCCCTGGCAACCTTCAGCAAGCATCTGTGACGGGGTGTGTGTGTGTGTGTGTGTGTCTGTGTGTGTGTTGTGCGGCTCTGGCGTCCTTGTTTATTCCTCAGAACACCATCTGGCGTACTCCATGGTTCCCAAGCCCCTCAGCACCTACTTCCAGTGCGTCCAGATACTTTCAACCGCCCTCTGCTTTTATTCCAGTCGGAACAATCCAATCCCACAATCTGCACATATATCCCCCCACCCCACTCACATAGAAATGTTCTTCTACCCGCCCCATTCAGGAGAACGCTTGTACAGACGTACAGTACAAGCCAAGACAGCCCTGAAGGGGCCATCAGGCCATGCCAGCAAAAAGGTGACGGAAAATGGCATGCAATGGCGCAGGCCATGGAGACAAATATAAGAAAAATGAAACGCCTCGTTCCGTGCCACGGGCCAGATTTGTGCAAAACAAGGCCCATCGTTGCCCCACGTTCTCCTCCAGCATTCAGCCCTAGTCCATTCTTCATTGTGTTCACCCGCTCACTGAGACATTTCTTAAATAAAAGCACCTAGTTGTGGGCTAGGCTACATACAGTACAATATGCTTGTGGTCGTTCAGCCAAAAGCCTCAGCACCCCAGCTGCAGCTTCAAAACGTGCGATAGGTAGCTCAGTACAGCCACTCTTCAGGGAGGTCGTTTGCGGTTGCTTTCTTTGCACCTGCGACCAAAAGCAACACAAGGCCGTCGTTTGACCACCATGATCGAGCCAGGCGGCCCACGGCCAAAACCCTGGTGAGAGGCCCCTTTCATGCACAACATCCACCACACGCCAACGTTGCAGCACCACAGAAATGCAGCAAACTTGTTCGCAATATGTACTGGAGGTGACACGAGTCCAGAATCATAAGGCCTCCAGGGCTTCAGACAGGACGCCTCAACCAACAAGAAACAAACCAAGCAGGTTCGTCCCAGCAGTGCAGAACCCATCTACAGATAGGGGCCATCCATTGACTCCATTTGGTTGAATATGGCCAGCACCGCCCCTGCACCCACCAGCAGACTCCGGGCCGGCGTCGTCCATCTCCTGCTGCTTGGCCTCGCCCCCAGGGCCCTGGGCAGGTATGAACACCCCCGTTCCGGCCCCCGCCTGCTCCCCCTTGGCCAGCACCGCCGTCATGGGGTGCCAGGATGGGTCCGCCCACTGGGGAGGGCGCAGCGCAGCGGGGCTGCTGGCCTGCCGGCGGTGGGTCCTGCGGCGCGGGAAGCGGTTCTGGCGGCCCCCGCTTCGGCTGGCCACAGCAAAGGCAGCCAGGCGACGATCAGCTCATTCCATGACACAGTCGTCAGGACAGCAGATTCAATGAACGGCGTCCTTGGCGCACATCAGCGGAGGCTGACCACCTCTAGAATAGCTGCGATCGGGAAGGGGGCGTGGGGCGCCGAGCAATCGATGGTAGTTCGTAATCCCGGCCGGTGGTCGCGCAGCTGACATCTGCGCACTGTTGAAACCGGCAGGGAGACGAAAAGGGGGGAGGGGGGGGGGGAGGGGCGTGGAAGGGATTGAGCGTGCATTGTTTCCGCGACGGAAGCGCGCCTGTCTACCTTCTCTTGTACCTCCGAACCATGTCCTGGTGCAGCTGCTGGTACTGGAGCTGCGCCAGGGAGGACGCGAAGTCCCCGCCGGCCGGCAGGACGCCGCCGCCCGAGGGGTACTGCATCGCCGGGATGTCCGTGGCGGCGTTCATGCGCCAGATGGAGTTGGGCGACCCGGGCACGGCCGAGCTGAACGAGTCGGAGCGGTTGCCAGGCGCGCGGACGCCGGCCAGCACGGCGGCCTGGAGATCCGGGGCCAGCGACGGGCCCCCCGCCCCAGCGCCCTGTGGCTCGCCCACCCCCTGCACGCGCTCCTCCGTGAGAGCCTTCAGCCCCTGCGCAGCACTCAAGGGCGCATCATCCCACGGACTGGAGTCCTGGGAGGGCCGCATGGCGGCCGGGCCGCGGTCCGCACTGGATCAAACGGCGGCAGGACAGAGAATGTGGGCAGCTTCTGGTCGGGGGAGGGGGTATACCGAGGGCTGAGGCTGGCGGGGGGCATTCGATTGCCGCGAGGGCGTGCGAAGAGGGGAGCGTTTCCGGCAGGAGCCGGGGCGCAATGCCCTCATTGCCAAAGTCTGCCGCGTGCCACGCCTCCGCGGCCGCCAGCGCCATTTCCAAACCCCCGGCCACCGCAGCGCAGGCGCGGCGGGGTTGATCGCTCCACGGGCCCGAGCGCCTGCGCGTGGCCCGCGGCGGGCGATCGCGTCGGGCGCCGGGCACCCGGCCGTGCCCTGGCGCCGCCCCGCGCCCCGGCCGGCCTCACCTGACGGTACAAGTATATGGCCTGCAGCTTCGAGATCACCGCCTCCAGCTCCTCCTGCGCACCGGGACAAGGGCCGGGCCCTTCAGGACATAACCCATAGTGACTCCTACCCCAACAACCACAAGCACAGGCCAGGCGGGGCTTGGAGTTGGCCCGTTGGTAGCCAACACGGGCGCGTGGCCGCCTCGAGGGCGACCCTGCCAACGCGCCAGCCGGTGCACGGCGCCGGCGATCCCCCCCTGCCCATTATCTCCCAGCTTTCGCTTGCCTTTACGGCCAGCCACACGCAGCGCATCGAGCGCCGGGTTCTCAACCCTCCAGCCCGTCAGCCGGAAGCGGGCCCCATACGAGGATCGACAAGGGGCCCCGGTAACGTACGCGCACGGCACCGGCGGGCGGCGCGATCGGGCCGCCGCATCTCGACCCACCAGGCTGGCATCGGCGGCCGACTGGTCCTCCAGTAGGTGCGCAAGCGCTGCCGCCTGGCCAATGGCCAGGGGATCGTCCGTCGGCGGCTCGAACGCGGACAGGACCGAGCTGCCGCTGCCGAAGGCCGAGCTCTCGAAGGGCGACAGGTTGGAGGTGGGTGTCTCGCCCATGTGAAAGCTGCCGGCCATGTCGTCCGACATGGTGAAGCTGGAGCTCATGTCCGTGACATGGGTGAGGTCGAACGACATAATCTGCGCGCGGTGGAAGGCTGCCCACAGTCAGCAACGCGGCGGCCAGGGGAGGGTTGGAGAGAGGGGACTGCGCGGCGAAGCGCACCTCAGATTTTATTCAACGTCGCGTCCGGGCGGGGGGGCATCCACACGGCAGCGCAGGCGGTCGGCAGGGGGCAGGGGGCCGAGCGACCTCAAGCGTGTGTTCGCTCCAGCCCAGCGCAAACAGCCCGCAAAACCTTGGAAACAGATATAGGCACACTAACCTGCATGATGGAATGCAATCTGCGGCGGCCCCTTTCGCGCGGCCACGCTGGCGCTTCCGCGTTTCTGTGCGGCCCCCCCCGCGCGTCATGCCCGCCGGGATGTCTTGGGCCCCAACTCACGGAAATCTCACGCCGCGGTGTGTTTCCTCCCCGTGCAGAAGGGCGCGGTGCACCCTACTGTACGGCGTCGGGTCTATCAGAGCCTCACTACACTCTGGCTGCCACCGCTCAGGCCATTGATTCGTTCGATGGCGGTGCAAGGTACAGAAAGCCGTGGTACCTGGGTGCGGCGCGGGTGTGGCAGGGCATTTTGGCCAATAGGACATTGACGTCCCCGTGCCCCAATACAGTAGGGGCCCCTATATAGCGGCCCCCCCAATAGCGCCCTATTGCTTTGGCCTGGTCATTTTGCTCATTGACCAGGGTGGCAGGTTTGAGACAAAGTAACAGGTCAGCAAGACGACAAAACACAAGACAATGACAAAATTGACAATGTCTCACTGATCACTGGTCCATATACAACGCATCTTCACCTTAGGCACACAAAGTACAAACAACTTTGCAACAGATGGTTGATGCTTGGACGATCAGTACTTAACACTCAACGATCTGTGCCTCCACTAACTCCAATCAGGCCTAGCACTCAGGCAGGACAAGGACCCAGGTTGTTCCACGTTCCCACCCTTGGTGCCAGCCAGGAACACCCCCACAGGCACCCCACAGGCAACTCCTAGGCACCAGTGACCCCACAACGCAGTACAACACAGCACAGCACATGGCAGCTCACTAGAGGTGGCCACTCAAAGGCGCCATCCGGTCCGTTAAATCCGGTTCGTTAATTTTTATCAGCTGTCCGTTAAATTTCGTTAAAGAAAAAGGGAGAAAAATTCAGAAAAAATAAAAAAAATCCAAAAAAATTGAAAAAAAAAACCCAAAAAGTCACAACAACTGCGGCTAGTTGAAAATCTAGTATGCATAGGTTGAAGTAAAATACAAACATACTCTCTAATAGCGAATTCCATAAACTATAAGTATGACTAAAACCCAAAATCCCCAAAAAATCCAAAAATCCGTTAATTTTTGGTCAATTTTTATCTTTTTTCGTTATTTTCCGTTAATTAACGGAAAATTACCGGAAATTAACCTCTGTCCGCTATTAACGGATCCGGGTGGCCACCTCTACAGCTCACTGGAACGCCGCGCGACACTCGCTCCTGCTCGATGGCAGGTCACGCGGCCAGCGGTTGCGCGGCCAGACACCGATCACGTCGGAATGCCCTCGTCGCGGCTTACACACCACACCGTGTTCAGTCTCCAGATCCCATACACCGTGCAAGCAAAATTGCGAGAGAGCACAGTCCGCTGCCACCAACCACATTTCCTTTTACGGCAGCCTATTCACGGCCACCCAGATCCATTCACGACCACTCACTCCAACCCCTCAAACGGACACTGGCCCCCTCGGTGTGGCTGTCCGACGTCCATAGTACTTTATCAGGCACGTCACCCTTCCCCCCGCCCACGTGACAATTCCGCGCAACCTGACTGCGCCTCCCCCCCCCGGTGTTGTGGAGCTACTTGGGGGCAGACAGTTAATGGTGTTTTCTGCAGTTATATTATGTAATCCCGCTAAGTCATCCTTATCTACGGTTTACTTATGATTTCCTGGTTCCAACGCTTTGTTCAGCACTCAGTTCTGAGGAGTATGGAGGAAGATACGGCCTCTTGAAGACGTAGTACTTTGAGGCCAGGTGCTGGGTGGGGATTGTTGGAATTAGAGCTAGATTAGGTTGATTATAGGTGACGGAGGGGCGCTGGTACACGGTCCGTACATTACAATGAACTGTCATGTCTGATGTGACGCGATGGACCCACGACCGGGCATCGCGCAGGTACATTGGATGCGCGCCGCGTTGTGTCAGACTGTAATCGCAAATCCGGGCCCCTCTCTGCCCCGCCGCGAGGCAGCGAACCGCCGACCGCCGCCGCGAACCCACCGCCTGCGCACGGCAGGCTTCGGGGAAGGTCCCCGAGTGTCCAAGGGCCCACCGCACTACCGAACAACCGAGCACCCCGACAACGCCCGCCGGAATCTGGCGGAGAGGCGCGGCATC